TGATACAGTGCCATTGGCACCTCCATCAGGAAACTATGGCCCAGAGCCAGAGTATCTAACCTGCGGCTGGGGGTGGGGTGAGAGTCCAGTAAAGGCTGAGCAAGACTTTCTGGAGAAAATGAAGTTTAAACTTGTAAAAATGTCAATGGTAGCCAGGTGAAGGTAACTAGAGGTCACAGAAGAGAGGAGGTGAGAGCAAGCAAAGCTTATAGCAGTGGTTCCTAAACTTGAGCGTGTATCCAAATGAACTAGAGGGCTGTCAAAACCCAGGTGGCTGGGCCCCACCCCATTAGGTCTGGGAGGGACGAGAATTTTCTAGCAAATTCCCAGGTGATGCCGCCTAAGGATCAGATGTGAGGGGGGGGGGGTGATCAGAGGTGGAAGAAATAGGTGGGTTGTGTTTGTTTTAACCTGGAATCCCACCTCTCCTTGTGGGCTATGCATATCCTGTTCTTCATCCATCCTGCAAACTGAGGTCAAGGGTAACACATCCAGCCCTAGCCGGTTTGGCTCAGTGGATAGAGTGTCGGCCTGTGGACTGAAGGGTCCCGGGTTTGATTCTGGCTAAGGCAGTGGTTCTCAACCTTTCTAATGCCGTGACCCTTTAATACAGTTCCTCATGTTGTGTGACTCCCAATTTCATTGTTACAAATTGAACATAATTAAAGCATAGTGATTAATCACAAAAACAATATGTAATTATGTATGTGTTTTCCGATGGTCTTAGGCAACCCCTGTTAAAGGGTCGTTTGACCCTTAAAGGGGTCGCGACCCACAGGTTGAGAACCACTGGGCTAAGGCCACATGCCTGGGTTTCGGGCTTGATCGCCAGTAGGGGGTGTGCAAGAGGCAACTGATCAATGGTTCTCTCTCATCATTGATGTTTCTATCTCTCCCTCTCCCTTCCTCTCTGAAATATTAAAAAAAGAAAGGGTGACACTTCCAGGATACCTTTCCTAGGTCATTGCACTGATGTTATCTCATGGAGTCCATGAATACCTGTTGCATTCGTTCCATGTTATTTAATAGATAATTATAAGCAGTTGTTTCCACTGTGTTTGCTCTAACTAGAGCTCCTCGAGGCAGCGGCACATAGAAGACAAACACAGATCAGATTTACGTCTTGCAGCCTCAACAAGGACAGATTGCCATATTCTCTGTGCTGTAGACATGAGGAAACCGGGACTGAGTAGCCAAGACGAAGAGAAGTGAAATGTCTCACCCAAGTCACAGATGAGGGGAAGCCAAAGCTAGATGTATGTTCATGTTCACAAGTGTTCTGTGTGTTATGTGAAATTGCATGTGCTCCATGCTCAGCACTGCCGGTAAAGGGAAGGTTTTCTATTTATCTACTTATTTTACTTTTTTACTGTAGATCCATCTACTTAAAGAGAATACCAAGGCATCTTATAAATTGAATGTAGACTTTGTTTTTAGTGAAAAATGGGCAGTTATCCAAGGAATTCTTCAAGAATTGTTTATTTGCTTTTAGAGTAATATTTGAAGGAAGTAAGTCAATTATAGGTCATTAGGTTTATAAATGATTTTTATAAAATTTTGGCATGAGGTAGCTATTAAGAGAAAACCTATTTCAGTTTCCTGAAAAGACACAAATAAATAAGGCAGTTTATGCTATTACTCTTCTTGACTGGCCAGGTGAGTTTAGCCATGTGAAGATTTATAAAGAAACTTGTACATGAAATGTTATGTAATAGATAAGGTTAAAAACAAACAAATTCTTTTCAGTATCCATAACATGCCCAGCCTTTCTTCCTCATGTTTATATACAAACAGAATGTGATTTTCTGAGACTCCTGTCAGGGGTGGAGCTTTGAAGAATTCACTGGGCTTTCTGTGAATTCCCACAATATAACTCTGTAACAACAATTTTCAAATGCTCTATCAGCTCTTCATAGCTGGAAGTCTCCAACACAATCATGTGAATTATTCACATTATAAAAAACAGCAGCCGGAATTTCCTGGCATTGGCGAAGTAGCAGATGGCTATTGAACAGGCATTCCTTCGCTTTTCTTTGCGTGTTTGTGCTATATGCTTTGTGTGGCTTGAATGTTTTTGCTGCTTCCTTAATTCTTTCCATCCTCCGCCCCCTCTATTAAAGGCAAAACACAAAGCAATCACTGATAGCAAAAAAGTGGCCTTGGACATTGCTTAAAGCTAGGTGACAGAGCCAAGAAGCTGGGTGTTGAAGGTAAAACTCAGTTCCCATGCATGATTGCCAAGTTGGTGTCTTAATAGTCTTTGCAGATAAAACTAATAGATATGTCTTACACACAGAGTATATGTAATTCATTTTAAAATGAGGGCCTTATTTGAGACACTGTTGGGTGTTATGTAGGTATGTAAAATGAAGAACAAACTTGGCTTCTGTCCTACACAAACTTGATTGAGAAGGGAAGATAAACTATGAATACATTATGGAATAAGGGAGAATGCGTTTGGTGTAACCTGAGAACTACAGAAGGTGCTGCGTGGGGTCACAGAGGAGACTTCTGATAAGAGGGATGGAAAAGACGTACTAGGCTAAAACTTGGCTTTTTAAACGGACCTTAAAGGGAGTGTAGGGAAAGGGAGTGGCCTGTGCAAAGGTGTGGAGGCAGACAGGTATGTCAGTGCAGCCTTGTACAGACTGCAGAGCCGATGCTGAGGGTAGGCTAGGAAGCTCCTGAAACTATGCACTCTACTATAGGGGTCTGGGGGCTGAGGATGGGGTGGAGTGGAGGGTGGGGGCAGCAGGAGGGGTCCTCAGGCTTTGTGATGTGATGGAAAGAGCTCAGAATTTTTATGAGTTTATTTGAGCCATGGCCGCATAATTTCAGCAAGGCAGTTGAGGTACTGTTCCTATTTTTTTTTGGGGGGGGGGTGGGTGGTGAGGAGGAGAAGGAGAGAGAAGAGGAGAGCAGGGAGGGGATAAGATCTGTTTTTTATACACTTCAGAGTTTGAAGGATCAAACAAATAATATAACCCTTTGAAATAATACAACTATGACCTGTATAAGTATATAGGTTTAATATAATACCTATAGTATGTTGATAGAAATAGTTTTTCAAAGTTTAAGAAGTGTTAAGAAATTGAAATCATGAAGTAAGCATAATTATAATCTTGATGGTGTGAAGGCCAAGAAGTGTTCATTAGTGGTAAAAGCAAGCTAACTGTGTATTTGTCTTACATTAGAGTAAACCCTCTGAAATTGTACAAATCAGCTTGCTTCCTGAATTCCCTGCTAAACATTTGTTTTTAGAATGCTGTTGTGCCTTTCCATCTTAGCCTTATTGCTGTTCAACTTCTTTTCTCTCCTGGTGAGGAGGATGTCAGTGTAAGAAGCATAGAGAATTTTTATGAGTTTATTTGAGCCAAACTGAGGACTATACCAGGGAACAAGATCCCAAATGCTCTTGTAGAATAACAGTTTTGCAGTTCCTTTTATGCATTTGAAATCAAGGAGGGGACACATGTCAATGAGGGAATTGAATTACAGGATGTTTAACAAGATTATGTGCTCTTTTGATGGTTAATACTCCCTTGGAGGAGTATTACTTCTGGTATTTCAAAGGTACACTCACCTGGATGCACAAGAATGATGGACAAGTCCGGCGGTGTTGCTCAGTGGTTGAGCGTGGACCCATGAACCAGGAGGCCACAGTTCCATTCCCAGTCAGAGCACATGCCCAGGTCACGGGCTTGATCCCCAGTGGGGGGCGTGCAGGAGGCAGCCGATCAAGATTCTCTCTCATCATTGATGTTTCTATCTCTCCTTCTCCCTTCCTCTCTGAAATCAATAAAAATATATTTAAGAAAAAAATGTTTGAAAAAGAACCATGAACAGGGCTGGCTAAAAACCTTTCACTAAAAAAGTTATAGACCTGGAACATTACTACTCACCATGACCTTCCCAGTTAAGAATTTATGATCAGATCACCCTAGAGCAGGGGGTGGGCAACCTTTTTGTGAGTTCGTGCCAAAACCAGCAAAATCTATGACTCAAAATTCTTCTGTGTGCCAACCCTAATTTTTTGAGAACATGTTACGCCTACTTGATATCTCTTAAGGTGTACGTATGTGAAGAACCTTGAAGAAATAATAAAATTCATTCGAGCGACAAAAACAGTATATGATGATGAAAAATACATTTATTTTTTAATGTATACATGTACACTGATAGTCCGACAGAAAACTTTATGACTCCGTTTGATATTATCAGTGGGACTTTTGCTGCTGCATCACTGATGACAGAAATTTTACATCAGGTTTATATTTCGTGACCTTCAGAGCTACTACTTTCATCTGTCAGGCGACACTCCTGTTACGAGACTTAACAAAATTCACCACTGAGAACAAAGATTCACAAGCGTATGTGGATGAAACCAAAACACTGGTTGGATCTAGGAAGGCAGGGAGAGTTAAGGCAGAGGCATAGAAATTGCTCTTCCCCTCTCTCATCAATCCATGTCTATGGTCTTTAAGATAACTTGTTATGTAAAATTATTTATTTATCTAAAATGCACCTACACTGAATTTATCTGAAAAATAAAAAAGTCGATATTAAGAAAAAAATTGTAAATGGAAGATTATAAGAGAGGGTTTCGAGTGCCATGTTTGGCACGCGTGCCAGGGGTTGCCCACCCCTGCCCTAGAGGTTACTTTTCATAGAATCTCTCCCTTTTTCATCCATAAGGGCAGTGTTAGTATAATAAATATATGTATTCGGCTTTTGTCCTTGCTTCCTGGAAACACTTGGAATTTCCTGAATGATAGGAGTGTATGTTATTTATAACTAGAGGCCCAGGGCATGACATTTGTGCACTCATGTGTGTGTGGAAGGGGGGGGAAGGGGGGTCCCTCAGCCCAGCCTGTGCCTTTTTGCAGTCCAGAGCCCTTGGGGGATGACTAAACCGTCAGTCAGACATCCTTAGCACTGCTGCAAAGGTGGCAGAGGCTCCCGCCACCACTGCTGCGCTGGCCAGCTGTCAGCCTGCCTTGGCTGAGCAGTGCTCCCACTGTGGGAGCACACTGACCATCAGGGGGCAGCTCCTGCATTGAGCATCTGCCCCCTGGTGGTCAGTGCTCGTCATAGAGATTGGTCGTTCTGTGGTTCATTCAAATTGCAATTAGCCCTTTTAGATCATAGTTGAGTTCATGCTAATGGTTGACTCTTGGTGGGCCTTTGTTGGGGTCCAACCCCAGCAGGCCCAGGGGTTCCCAAAGGTGTGGACGGAGTTGGCAAAGAAGGAATGACACAGAGACAGCGTTTAGTTGATCAGCAGCCTAGCCAGGTTCTGTCTTTATTGTCCTGTTACATCTGTATTTATACCAGTTGATTTTAATCCTATCCATTCTATTTCTGCTGGTAGAGATGGCAATCTGGGGCATGGCACCTGCCCTAGTCAGTAGAAAAGAGGTCACCAGCAGAGGGCAGGGGGGCCAAGCCCCCTGTGACGTTGAGCAGCAATGAGAGGTCTGGCAAACTCTGAATATGGGACTTCAGTTCCTTGCGGACCTGGGCTACCCGAGCAAGCTTCTGTTTATATTCTTCTAGTTTTTTCTTCTTTTCTGACAAAACATCTTTCTGGTTCTGGGTGTACTTCACCAACATCCAAGCCAGCTGGCGCCGGTCTTCCAGTTCTGCCGCCAGGCACCCGTTATATTCTGCTAGTAACAGACATGCTTCATCTACTGTTTTTGAAAGACATTCAGCTGCCTCTTTGTTTGTTATTTTTTCCAGCAGAGAAACATCTTGCACTTCCTGGGGCAAAGAAGCAATTTTCTGTCGGACAGTAGCATTCCCTGATGCAGCATTTTCCAGGTCCTGCAAAGCTTTGATTAGTTCCTCAGTCAAGAGCGGTCCTGCAGAAGGATCTTGAGGAGAATAGCTTCCAGGGTAGTCATCATCCTCCTCCTCTTGTATCTGTTGAAAAGCTCGCTTCAGAGATTTCTTCTCCTCTGTTGCTTTGGGGGGAGGGCTCTTGGAGTCCTCCATAGACAGCTTCAGCTGCTGTATGAACTTGCTGCCATACACACTTCTTTCTTGCCAGATGTTCAGCAATCTTTCTAAAGGTTTTTTACAGCCTTCATCTGCCTCTCTAGCAACATGAGAAAAAGCATCCACAAGGACAGATTCAAATTCTCTAATGAATTCAGGTCCTTTCCTTTTACTGTTTTGGATGACATCATTTGCTAAATATAGAAAAGTAAGCTTTCTATTTGATTTGCTTTGCGCAGCTCTCGGTGCCACACCGAGACGATGGGTCCCGCTGCTTG